CATAAATAATGCAACGGAAGGTCAGAAAGACAAGTGACGAGCAGGTATGTGCTAGGAGGGGACCCGCCTTGCACCAGAACCCCTGGACCTGAAGACCTCACCGTCCCTCGTCCACCGACCTTTGCTCCTGCCTCCCCCTCTGTCACTGAAGCTTCTGGGCTCCAGACCCCTGGACCACCCACTTGGGGGAAAAGAAAGGAGGGGAGAGAGGAGGGAGGGGAAGAGGGGGAGAGAGACAGAGTACAGGGGAAAATGAGGCAGAGAGAGGGAGGTAGGGAGGGGTTCTAACCTCTGCAGGAGGTGGGAGCTCCCCCACTCCTGTGCTGTAATTTAATGTGCATAAAATGTGACTTTGCCAGTGGCTGAGGTCCCCAAGCCTGGAGTGCTAACAGCTGTGGTGCCGAACGCTTAGAGACCTGATGAATTATGCTCCAACCAGCAGCCGGCAGGTACAGGCGACCTTGCACTGTCTTGTGGTCACTATCCTGGTCCCTCTGCTGGCCACTTGCCTCATCCCTTTGTGCCTATTCCTTCTCCCTCCAAGCCCTGTCCCTCCGACAGAGGGCCAGGCCCACCTCAGGGGCTTGTCTTCTGGTGGAAGTGGTCAGTCCCCTTCATGAGAAGGGGAAGTGGTCAGCCCCCTGGGAGGGTGGGGCCTGTGTTTCTGGTAGACGCCCTGCGTGGAGCCTCCCACTCAGCCTGTGGCCCTGGGTGACAGGTGCTGACCACAGTGCTGTGGCAGAAGACTATGCCCCAAGTCAGTTCCCACCTGGGGAATGGGTCATCCCCACAGGTCAAGATTTTTCCTTTGTTTCTCTTTTCTCTTCGTTTAGAGAGGCTGTTCCCAGCACAGCCCCACATGCCCTGAGTCCAGCTCAGTGTCATGGACTCCCTGCTGCAGCAAGGGATCCTCAGGCAGTCAAAGTGAACATTCTGCAAAGGATTGTTCTCCCCTTTAGAGGACACTAAGGAGCAGGGTTGTTTAGAAAACCACACACCTACAGATAAGCCTTAAAGTGCCTGAGATCTCTGCATGTTCAGAAACAGAATTTGGAGGCATTATAGGGACACTTTTCTCTCAATAAATTTACAATAGTTGTCATTTATTTTTAAAAATACCAACCTCAGAGCTGTGCATGGTGGCACATATCTGTAATCTCAGCATTCAAGAGGCTGAGGCAGGAGAATTTCTGTGAGTTTGAGGCCAACCTGGACTACATAGGGAGACCTTGTCTCAAAACAACAGCAAATCCACTCTTTTGCAGAGAGAATACTCTAGGGAGCTGCATTTCCCTGGCCTCATGGGTCTCCAGGGAAAATGCCACCTCCAGTGGTGGCAATGGCCTGCCCTACGCCTTGCCCCTGCCAGCTTCATCCAGCACCTCAGCTTCCAGGGTGCTCCCACCTGGAGTCAGGGCATGGCAGAGTGGGGACTGTGAAAAGAGTCTTCTCTTGCTGCCGCAGAACAGAACCCTAACCACAGGGCCCTGGATGTGAAGCCCAGGCTGCCAAGGGTGCTCTGGGTCCCCCAAAGAGCCCCTAAAGGACCTGGGAAAGTCCCTTCCCCACCATGTCAGACTCTGCATGGCAGTCTGTGACTCTGCTGCAGCCCCACTGGGTCCTGCTCGCCCCATCTTTGGGGAACCCAGCAAGGAGGAAGGGGCGAGGGCAGAGGGGTGCGGCTGTCTTCTGGGCATGGGGACTATAAGGTCCCTGTTGCGTGGTGCTGGTGACTGGCTTTGTGCAGGAGTGGCTGCTCTGGACCTGAGATTTTCAGACAAAGACTCCGAACCCAGAAGGTAGGTGCCCATAGGTGACTCAGACCCTGGACAGTGCTGTCCTACTCCTTTCTTGTCCTCAGGGTTCTCCATGGCCCCTGAAACTCTAGATTCTCTCTGCAATGCCAGTGAGAAATAAGTAAGGCTCATCTGCTGTTGACACTGTGTGCACCACCAAAGTTCAGTACTTTGGGGGGACATCAGCATTAGACCAAGCCAGGAGGTGGGTCCTGTGTGTAACAAGAGATACCAGAGTGTGTTTCTGCCTGTGTTTCTCTCTCTGTCTCTCTGTTTCTGTCTCTGTGTCTCTTTGTCTCTGTTTTTCTCTGCCTCTCTGTCTGTCCCACCCCTTTCCCCCACCTGCCACATGAGGATACGGAGAGCAGCAGTAACCTGCAAACCTGGGAGAGAGTCCTCCCCAGGGAACTGAACCAGCTCCCCGATCTTGGTACCATGAGGAATAGGCCTGGGCTGGGCTGCTCAATCTGTGGTGCTGTCTGGGCAGTGGGGGCTCAGATGCCAGCAAAGCCAGGCAGACAAAGGCAAATCCTGCAGCCCCTGCAGAGCCAGGGGACAGAGCTGTCACCATGTGCAGCAGGGCCTCCAAGTCAGCTATGTGGTGGCTACAGAGGTTATCAGTGGCCCTAGAGAGGCTGGTGGTGGTTTAGGGCAGAGGGACAGGGTGGGTGGCCCTGGGGTTTTCTGGCAGGTCTGATTGGCAGCTGACAATCAGGGCAGCTGTGGATACTGCTAGGTCCTTTGCCTGGGTCACTTCGTGGCCCAGCTTCCTGCACCCACTGTGGATGTGGTCTGGGTCCTGCCTTACATTCTGTCTGGCCACCACCCAAGTGCCCATCCATTCTCTTGCCAAGCTCCTGCCAGCTCTGCTCAGGACTCTCAAGGACCCCACCCAGGGACCAGAAGGACAAGGGGGAGGAGGAGGCAAGGGACCCCTGATGTGCTGCAGTGTCCAAGCCCTTCTTATGTTGCAGCTCCTGGAAAGGGCAGGTAGGGGACGAGTATCCAGGTCCCCTAAGCTTCACACAGTGAAGCTTAAGGCTCAGGCCACAGATTAGGCACAGCTGGGAACGTGGAAGGCCCACCTCACTGCCGTGTGTCCCGAGAACAATGCTAGAGCTCGGGACGACAGAGGGTCTTCCCAACAAGAAGTGGGGAATCTGGGGGTCATGGCCCATTCTCAGTGTTTTCCAAAGCAGAAAATGCCCCTTCCTGTGAAAGCCTGCAACGCCTGTCCCTGACCAGGAGAGAATCCTGGTGGAGAGGAGGGACCAGGAGCAACCTCTTCCCGGGGGAGGCCGGGGAGCTCACCACGACCCTGGGGTTGGGCGGGGGGCGAGTGCCCTGGCCTCTGTGGCTCTGCTGTTCAGAACTTCACCACTGCTTTGAGTGAAAGCAATCCGGCTGGGGGCATGGGACAGGGCTGAATCAGGGCAACTGCTCAGGGGTGTGGATGTGGCTATAGTCAATCCCTGTGCCTCCAGGCCAGGTGGTATTTACACCAGTCACTGAGGTCACAGCACAATGAGCAGACTGGTTTGCAGCAGTCAGTGAAATCTTTCTAATGTTTTCCCACAGACAATGCTATGGGCCCTATGGACAGTCATTTCCACTCAGGGTTGGAGCCCTGCTGTCTCCCCGACAGACGTCCAGACACGACTGCTCTTCTGCTTCTTCACCTGCCTTGGTCTGAACACTGCTGATTGGTCCTGGCCAGTGCTGGTCCACGCATACCAGGTTCTCCATGTGCCAGTCTTGGAGGTGACTCACTAGTGGAGGAGCAAGAAAAGAGCCATCCGAGTGGTAAAATAATGTTTTATTCCATGAATGAACAGATGCTACCATGCCACATCCCCACGTCCCTCTGACCAGGTCTTGGGCCAGAGCTGGTGTCCCTGTCCGGGCCTGAAACAGCAGAAGCACAGCCAGGCAGAGAGCAGACCGGTCCTGGTGCCAGCACACTGCCCCTCCTCACAACAGCCACATCCGAGTCACCCTGGGACAGAGTTCCTCCCATGGGCCTGGCTAGAACTGGCACTCAAAACTCATACAGATGGAACAAAACCCCCGACTACCGCAAAGCGATATGGACACTTCTCTGAAGACAGGGTGCCAAGGACATCCCAGGCAAGACTGGAAGCTGCAAATCAGGTTGTCACCAAGCCCAAAAGGAAAAGATGGCAATTGATATATTTCAGACAAGTGTTTCTAGAGTCCAGATCCACCACGGTGTCCACATGCAAGGGGGGATATCACAAACGCTGGACACACATTCCTTTCTTATATACAATGAAATGAAATATACACAGGGAACAGCGGCTGTACATCTGGTCAGCATGTATCCTACAAGGCCGACGGAGACCAGTGTCGCCCTTCCTGCCAGTGCAGAGGGGAACTCGATGGTGCATCACAACCTTTGCTTGAGATTCTTGTGATCGAGACCTGAGCTCCTCAGCCCACCTGGGGGGACTGACACTGTCTTTTTATGATTTTTAAACCACATGTCATCAGACAAGACTTGACAACTTCTCAAGGAGGAAAAGGACAGTATCAAGGACACATGTGAACAGACAATGTTGATCTACAGACAAACCCTAATGCAGCTCCGTGAGAAAGAGGATTTATTTATGTTTCCTGTTACTGGATGAGACTGAGTGTTTCTCCCTCAGTGTTTAAAATGCCACCACCAAGTCTGAGGACAACGGGGAGGAGGGAGCAGGGAGTTTGGATCTATTTCTCTATCCAAACAAACGGCAGGTACAAAGCAAATAAAAGCAAAAACAGGAGGAGGGAGGGAGGGAGAAAAAGAGAAGGAGAGAGGGAGAGAGAAAGAAGCACAACAAAACGACCCAGGAGCATAGACAATGCTCGTCAGGTTAAAACATAGAAAAATATGAATTAATTCTAGACAGCTAACCATTAGCATAGCTACAGTAGTACTTTATACAGAAAGGGTCTGTTTTCTTGCTGCAGCCCAAAAAGGTCGGATGTCCTACTTACAGATAGGGGCAGGCCAAGCTCTGACCACGCACTTCCTGAATCCTGGGCTCTGCATGTTCCCATGTCCGATGTGGGTGCAATGCGCTGGAATGTGCCACGGAACGCAGAGGGGTGGGGGCTAATGCTGCTGGCTGGAGCTTCAACTCAAGGGCTGGCTTCCCGGGGCTCCAAGGTGCCCTCACCGCCCTCTGTCCTTCGCTGTGTCCCTTAGGGGTGTGGGGGGCTGTGGGATGTGCTCGTCACTGTGGGGCCAGGAGGAGGCAATACTGCTGAACGGGGTGCCGGGCTGCGTGGGGTCACATCTCCCGCGCCAAACTGCCTTCCAAGTCTGAGACACACATGCTAGGGAAGGTCCGCATCTCCGCCCTACCCACCCTGGGAGGGAAGAGGGAGCAGCAGGAGATTCCGCTTTGCATATTGTTGTGGAGAGAGCCATCTGTGCTTAGGGATGCCAGGCAGTCAGTCCTCCTCTTCATCCTCTTTTGCTGTGGCTGTCAGGAGCTTGTCCTGGATCCTGAAGCAGTCCACGAAGAAGTTGATGATGGACCGGTACAGATGCTGCTTGAGGGCAGGGCTGTGGAAGTAGTGGCTTTCGTCTGGGTATATCTGTAAGGAAGGCAGTGAGCAGTTATCACTGTCATCCGCCCTCCAGGGACACAGATGTTGTCTGTGGATGTTGGATAGGGAGCCTAGACCAGCCCAGGCCCACTCAGCTCTGAGTTTTGTTTGCATACGAATTCCCTAACCTTCAGCCTCCATAGAGATAGGTGCCTTTGGCTCAAGCTCTGCCTGCTGCAGTAAGGGCCCGGCACCTCTGGTCACAAAACTGCCAGTCTGCCCGTCACCTGACCCTCACCAGGGGCACAAGGCGCTTGGTGACAGTAGGTGGAATAGGTTAGAGAGCACCTCACTCCCTGTCTAGACTTGCCTGTCTGAATCTGCATCCTGGCTGCATGGCCTGGATCTATGCTGGAAGAATTGGGCCTGTTTCAGGGTCTTTGTTGTAGGACTTTGCATCCCCACCACAATGACGTTCCTGGGCCTCGGACTGCAGCTGTGACAGGTGGGAGAATGCTCTCAACAGAACTGGACTACAGTGTTCTGTGAGAATTAAGGTGCAATCTCCACAGAACACTGAGAGGCCGGGCATGGGGAGGGTGGCTCCCAGGCTCATCCCACAGTCCAAGCTCAATGCAAGGCTGGGAAGAAGCGTTCTATTGCCAGCCCATGACCCCTGTATACTGTTCCTGTGCCTGACCCAGAGCTCATCCTTCCTGTGACCCCAGATACCCTGCAGTTGGAATCTCATCTTCCACCACCTTCATTTCATTAATGATTAGGCCAGGAGGTATATATATGTGGCACAGCAAGGTGTACCAAAGGGAACAAAGCAGGACATTTGTCCCCTCTGCCTTCAGTCTCCTGTGCTCCTACCTGCAGCTGGCTGTGGCTACAAACTCACTCAGTGCCTGTGGGTTCAAAGCTAAGACATGGCTGTAATCTCATGCATGGTTCCAGGTGGTCCCCTTCACTGACCCAGGCGGAACTGTAGGCCCTGCTGCTTAGCACCTTGGGCACGCCCCAGGGGCCTCTTCAGCACACATGGGAGGAGGCACCTTTAATCCATGTGTTAAATGCATTCACAGTGCCATGGAAACCATAACCATAACCATAACCATAACCATAACCATAACCATAACCGTAACCATAACCAACCCATAGCCAAGTCCAATCCATCCACCAACCCAGGGACAAGTGCACTTCTTGCTGGAAGCTCTCCCTGACCTGCCAACACATACATGTCCTTTGGATGGCGGAGACAGAGGCAGGTGGTGCACAGAGCCTGGCACCTCCCTGAGGGGGAGAGGTGACTGGCTGAGGTCTCCTTTATCTCTGGACTCTGAACACCATTGGGTCATACCTGTTTTACCAAAGGATCCGCAAGGAGGAAATGGAAGAAATTTTTAGCATTAGGTCAGTTGTGGAGGTGAGTGGGGCCTGGCCAGGCTGTGACAGTTGTGGGTGGTGCTGGGACACTGTCATGATTTCTATCTGTATGTGCCCAATGCCTCATGTAAGCACAGGCTGGAATTTCGGGACGTGACTAGATTATGGGTCATTGCTGCTGACTTGCTGTTGGGAGATGAGGTCTGGTGGGAAGAAATGGGTCACTTGGGCATGGCCTGGAAGCACTTACCTCCCCTCAGACTCCTCTCTTCATTCTCTGCTTCCTGTGGCCATGCTGTGCACAGTTTTTCCTCCACCACACCCCTCTGCCATGTCACACTGCCTCGGAACCCACTGACTAAGGACTGAAACGTCTACCAACAGTGAGCCAAAATGAGCTTCTCCTTCTGTAAGCTGTGGGTGTTGGGTATTGTGTCCCTGGCACAGGAGAGTGACTAGGACAGACGCTCTGACTGTGTCCGGAGTCCTGAGTGGTGCTGCACAGAGCGAGGGGGCTTGGGACCACAGGAGTGCAGGCAGTACCTGCAAGCTGTAGTTGGCCTTTCCCTTGATGAGCTGTGTGATGAGCTCAGCCGTGTGCTGGAAGTGGATTTTTTCTGTTAAAAAAAAAAAAGTAAAAGAAAGAGGCGGGTTTTTCAGTGAGCGAGGGGGCTTGGGACCACAGGAGTGCAGGCAGTACCTGCAAGCTGTAGTTGGCCTTTCCCTTGATGAGCTGTGTGATGAGCTCAGCCGTGTGCTGGAAGTGGATTTTTTCTGTTAAAAAAAAAAAAGTGAAAGAAAGAGGCGAGTGTTTGTCAGCACCATGGGACCCTCTGGGAACATCCTTCCCCCACGGCAGTGGTGCTGGGTCCTCACCATCCGCAGTGGCATGAATGAGCAAGAACTGCTGTCCCTCCAGCGCTGACACCCGGTGGGCCACCTTGGTCATCTGCACAGGTGGGCAAGGGGACAGGGTTAGTGGCTGTAGGAGACACGGTGGAAAAGTGGACGCAGCTAAGAGAAGTGTCTGGGAAGCACTGGTCCCATGAGAGCAGATCTCGTGTCACAGTGAAACCTGACAAGAGCAGAAGCCTTGGCTTCACCTTCCTTATGCAGGATCCTCTCAGGCACCAAGGGGGCTGGGAACAGAAGGGAGGAAGTAGTATTCCTCCAAGGACAGCTTGCCTTTTACCTGGAAATGGCACCTGAGCAGACACAGGGCCTCTGTCCTCACAGGAGACTCAGTTTTGAGGACAGTCCTGCCGGCCCGAGTCTGTGTCCTTTGTGCACAGATGGAAGGCCAGTCGGACCTCTTACTGGGTCACTGATGGCTTGGTGTGACCAGGAGGGTGAGAGGAGCTTCTTGTCCAGTGCATCTGTAGCCCACCCTCCCCGAGGGACAGCCAGCATATCGTGGGTCTGGGACAGACACCCCGACCAATACTTTCCCAGCTTTCTCCCTCTCCCCGAGTCCTGCCACGGGGACAGGTGGCTCAAAAGGGGACGGTTCACTGGTCTTAGCTTTGGTGGTGGGGAGGCAGATGCCTCGGCCCAGTGGGACTATCTGCTGCTGAGTGGGGCCAAGCTGCAGGGGTGGAAGAGGGATGGGGAAAGAGGTCGACTGATGGCACCCAGTGTACCACACGTACCTCATATGCCCTGTTGTCGAGTCCGTGGAGGCCGAGGTACCGCTCAGAAAATGCAGATGCTGGACAGAAGCAGAGGGAGGGTCACCTTGTGCCCTCAAGACACCTTGTGTCTGGATGTAGCATCCAGACCCTCGTGGGTGTAACTAGGATGCGGGGGCCTCTGTCACTTGCATGTTGTCTCTTAGCACACATCATCATCTACTTTTCTCAGGTGTGTGGGTGATCAGATAGAACACTGGTAATGTTCAAATGTGTTAGTGGTGGGAGGTGGCTTTTATCAGGACAGCAACACTGGAATCAAGCAAAACTGAACTAATCCACTAATCAGAATCCAAAGTAAACCAGACAACCCCCACTTCATTTCAACATGATTTGTAGATGTTAGGAGGGGCATGGCTTTGGACTCAGCATAGACACGGGGAGCTTGTCAGGGGGTTCAGTGTGGACAGGGGGCGCCCAACAGGGGGTCACCTGGAATGGAGACAGAGGTGCTGAAGGGAACAGGGGCCCTGCTGTGGGCTGTGCTCACAGTTCCCGCCGGCCATTACCATAGAGCTTGAAGTCCGTGATGGGAGAGAGGGCTGCACCACAGGTGAACATCTGGCCTTGGTTTTCCCCCTTGGCCGGGAGGATGTAGGTGCTCAGGTACCCACCATAGTCCTGGGGAGGAGCACAAGGAGGAAGAAGGGAGACAGGAGCCTGGGTCAAGTCTGGCACTCACCCAAAACCAGCCTCAGGCATGGGAAGATTGGAGAATTAAGTAATGGTTTTGTGAAGTTTTTAAGTATTTTTGTAACGGTAAAGTTCCTTACAAGGCAGCAGGTAGAGATGAAAGGGAAACCCCTTTTCTAGCTACATCCCATGTGCCATGAGGTTCCCACCTTTTGGGCACAGCACCAAGGGACAGAGGATGGCTTGGCTGAGAGGGGCATTGCTCAGTACACATGCTCTTCAGCACCATCTGTCTGCAGGTGAGGCCAGCCCCACACAGACATGAGGGAGGTCAAGGCCAGCAGGTCCAGGAGTGGGCCTGGAGCTGCCACAGGGGGTGAGTCCTCCGATCTTGTGCTGCCCTGACCTTGGCAGATGGGTCTCCCAGACCACTTTACACCATCTTCTGCGCATGCTTGGTGCTGTTGTCTCCCAAGACAGGGGCAGGAGCAGCAGGGGCAGAGAACCAGGGAACAGCACTGGGTAGCCTGAGGCAGGTGTGCATCTTCAGAAGTGTGTTGCATGTGATGTGTGTAGGCACATGTGGATGTGTAAACATGTGTGTGACTAGGTGCGTTTGTGTGTACATGTATAAATATGTGCACATGAGTGTGTGTGTGAATGTGCATGAGTATACAGGCACATGATGTGGTGTGGGTGTGAGTATACATGAATGTGTGAGTGTGACTCTGTGAGCCTGTGCCATATCAGTCTATGCCCCATGTGCATTCTGGGTGGAAGTGGCTGAATTACTCCTCCTGGCTTCTCTGCAAACACGAAGACTCCTGAGACAGATGCCTATCTCCCGCTTCTAGGTCTGAGAGCTACATGAGTCCTGAGAGAACTACTGTGGAGCACTCTCCAGCAAACACCTGGTTCCTCTCCCTTCTCCCCGAGACAGTGTCAAGAAGCAGAGATTAGTGAGCTAAACCAAGGAGAGTTCCCATCGCTGGAATCACTGTGTCTCAGTCTCTTGTTCTTCAAAAAGTAATGACTTAACTCTGAGAGACTGAGGCAGGAGGATCATGACTTTTTTGTTTTTTTGTTATTTATTTATTTATTTATTTATTTATTTTTGAGATGGTCTCACTCTGTAGTTCAGGCTAGACTTGAACTTGCAGTGATCCTCCTGCCTCTGTCTCTGATCGCTAGGATTTCAGGTGTGGGCCACCATACCCTGCAGCAGGAGCACAAGTTTGAGCCTAAACTGGGTAATTTAGTAACTTAGACCCTATCTCAAAGTAAAAAGTGAAATTAAGCTGGGCATGTAATTCAGCTCAAAAGCCTTGGGTTCAATCCCCAGGACAAAAACAAACAAACAGACAAAACAAAACAAAAACAACAAAAAACAAAACCCAAAAAGCAAAAGGCAGAAACAACAACAACAATAACAACAAAAACCGTGTAGCAGAGCTGCACATTACTAGTAGGCTATGACTGGCATCTACTTCTTACTTTCCGTAATTTGACTATATTTTATATCAGGAGTCAGACAAAAGCTCTATGTGACTCAACTGGATATGTCAGATGGCAGACTGGGCAAGTACAGCCCCCCGCCAATGGCTGCCACGGAAACTGGTCTGTGAAAGTTACACACAGCTGGGGTCACAATGACCCCAGTTGAAATCCTTTCCCCTGAATTATGGCTTCTCACTGAACCAGTGGGTTGCTTGATAATTGCACCCAGTTGCAGTACCAATTTATTTTATCTAAGCAAGATAATCGGTGCTTACTCCCTAACAGCCCTGCTGGTACCATCATGCCAGGTATTCAACAGTATTTCACTAGGTGCCTTCAAAGAATACCTGGCTCCCTATTCCTTCCCGCAATTGTATTCAATAAATACTGGTTGCACCTGGGGACCTTTGTCTTTGCTGCCATCAGCAGCACTGTTCATGTCCCAAGATTCAGCTTCCTCACTCTAAGTCTAGTTCCTGTCTTATTCTTTAATTCACCTTGTACTGTAGTGGCTCACAGGAGGCAAGGACTCACACCAGAAGTTCTGACAACGTTCTCTTCCCCATTCCATATACAAGGGAAGGACTCACACCCCTGGCCACAAATGAGACTTCCCAGTGAAGCAGAAGGAGCCCTGGCAGGATATAGTCCCTTGCTCCTGCACAGAGAGTCCTCTAGAAGAGGACAGTGAGACTCACCTGTCCAAATACAGCCACCCGCGTCTTGTCAATATACTGCTCTTTCAGCATTGTCCTGCAGGCCAAGGAGGACAGGGAAGGTCAGGGCCCTTTTGTAGTGGGACTTTGTGCCTCAAGGCCTGCAGCTCCACCCCCAATCATTTCAGGCATGAGAACTGCTCTTTACAATGGAGGAGTTTTGGGGTGCTGATAGGACTGCTCATTGCTTATTCAATGCACAGAACCAGACCCAAAACATCCTGTATCCCCTCTGTGAGACTCCTGCACAGACGCAGCACCCCCAGGGCACAGGACCACTACTGCAGACCTGCCCCTTGGGCTGCCCACTTAGAGGCGTGTGATTCCCAGGCACATGGGCTGTGGGGTGCTCCTCCCCAGCTAGCAGCAGTTAGTCAACTGCTGAACTCATCCTCCATGGTGTCCCTGGTCCTGGTGGAGGTCTCTATCTCATCCTAGTTGGCTGCAGACACAGTGTTTGGGAGTTTCCTTGCTTGGCTCTGCCCTTGGGAGTGACTATCCTAGTGTCCAAGCAGATGTTGCTAGGGTCTGGTATCTTCCTCCCCACAATGTCCACGTAAACCTCAGGGTGGTTCACACTATCCCCATAGTGACTGGAGGCTGATTCTGAAGCAGTCCTGCCACCAGCTGGCAGATGCTCAGTGAAAACCACCTGCTTTCTGAAATATACACCTGACCCTAAGCCTAGCCCTGACCCTGATCTTAACCTTAACCCTAAACCTGTAATCCTAACCCAAACTAACTCTCATTCTAACACAATCCAACCCTAACCCAACCCTAACTCTGAACCCTTATCCCTGTTATGGTTTGTACCTAGATGTCCTCCAAAGCCTAATGTGCTCATAGGCATGTCATACTGAGATTAAGGGAGTGTGTTACTAAATGAGTCCACTGATTGGAATTAGCATAGTTCTGGGTATAGCTGAATAAATTTACTGAAGACAGAAGCCCCAGCAAAAAGACCTGTAGCTTGGCTGGAAAAAAGGGAAAAGAAAAAAAAAGACAGGCTGGCTACTTGCTGCTGCTTATGCTTCCTGTTTGCCTTGCTGTGCATTGCTTCTCCTTTGTATGTCTCTGAGCTGTGCTGCCCTGCCTTGGAGGCAGATGATGATGGACTGAAACTTCTACAAACTGGGGGTGAAATAAACTTTCCCTCCATTAACATGTGCTTGTTGGGTCTTTTGTGACATCAATGAGAAAAATAATTAAATCACTAACCCTAACCCAACCTTAACCCAAATTTAACCCTAACCTAATCCTAATGTAACCCTAACCCTAAATCCTAAGCCCTAATCCTAACCCTAATGCAGCCTTAACCCCAACTCTAATCCAACTCTAACTTTAACCCCTAACTGTATCCCTAATGCAACCCTAACCTTAATCTTGACCCTGACCTTGAGCCTGACCTTAACCTTCACTATTACCCTGACCCTACCCTCTGCCCACTTTGTCAGGGCTGTCTCCTTCCACTGCTTGGGGTTCCTTTCGAGTTTCTCCTTCCCATGTTCTGCCTGCTGTGGGGAGACCCTCTACCATGTATCCCCTTCTCAGACAGATGGGATGTGTAGCTTGAGGCTGGCCCAGGACGCCTGCCCCGGGACCTGGCAGTCTTCACATTCCTCCTCCAATTCCCTCTTTCTTCTTCATCCTCTTCCCCTTCTTCTTCCATTTACTGGGTATCTGCTGCTTGGAAGACCCTGAGGCAGGTCTTGGGGACCAACACTGAGTAGTTTCTCCAAGATGTCTCGACTCCCAGAAGCCTCTGTTCTCAGCATATATGAGGACGTTGTTTTCTTGTCCAGCACAGACCACAGTTCCAGAGATTTCTGTATAGAAACTGTTGCCATCTAGATTTCCTATCTAGCCAGTCTCATAACAAGTATGGGGACAGAGTAATGACACTTCAGACATTTCCATGACTGGCATAGGACCCAGGGTGTATGCATACCATGTGTGTGTTTCAACGCACGCATGTGCAGTGCATGTGTACTGTGTGTTCACTCATGTGTACTCACAGACCCAATGAGGGTCAGTAGTGGCCGAAATTCCAGGTTGAGCTCCGGGACACCCTGTCGCACTGGAGCAGAAAGGTAAGGACTGTGGTATCAGTGGATGGCAGTACCTCACTGGGCATGGAAAAGAGACCAGTGGAAACTCGACTGGCCTGAGGCCACAATGAGGGACTCCTAGGGAGCCACAGGGAACACAGACACCTACACACAGAGACAGACCCTAGGGCAGTGATGGCAAAACCTATGGTGCATGTGCCATGGGCTGTTATTGAAAGCTCTAAAAGGTTTGCCATTACTGCTCTAAGTCAGGCACACCTACATATGTAGACATACCCTTGGTCATGCACACATACACACACACACAGGCCCCTAGGTCACAGGCTGGCAAGTCCACATATCTGGGCACCGTGAGTACTTTCTTCAAGTTCCTGTATTTCTTCCCCTTCCTCCAGCCCCTTCACACAGTGGTCTGTCTGGGGACATCTGCGATGTTCTGGCAAAGCTGGCTATGTCAAGATCAGTCAATCTTGTCTGCAAGGACTCTCTTTCCCCAGGGCCATGAGTCTATCTGGGTCACATGTGCTGGGACCCATGTGGCAGGCAGTGGATACCATGGATGGAGTGAGTTGGGCACTTGAAACACAGGGCCAGTGTTTTGGACTCCATTCTGACATCCAAAACTCTCCTGTCTCACTGTGGACCAGCTCCTGGGTCTGTGGCTAGCCTGCCCCCAGCACCTGTGCCTTGTACCTCTGAAGGAAGGACACAGATCTGGTCATGACCCCTGCTGGGACGGGTCTGCAGTCCCCCACACCACAGCTCTTCCTGATGTCAACTGTGCCTCTTATCTCATCACTGTACTTCCACTAACCTATGGAGCAGTCACCATCAGGTGAGGGGATCTGGGCCTGAAGCAGGGTGTGCTTCTCATGATGGAGTGTGTGAGGATACTGAGCAGTGACCCGTGCTGATCAGGTCATCTTGTCTAGTGAGAGCTGAGCTCAGGCCGAGGCCCAGGTGGAAGGAGGCCCAGATGACTGGACAAACATGCCTTCCAGGAGCATGACACCCAAGGGGATGGGGACGGTGGGGAGACAGCAGGGACTATGACGACATGGTACCCATGCTTTTGATGCTCAGTGTACTGACCAGGCAGAGCTGCCAGTGCAGCAAGGACCGGAATGGCAAAACCTTGGGCTGGGTTGAGAGGATATGCAGACTCCTGGTGGTGTCATGAGTCTAAGGCAGTGTTGGAGCTGTGGGACATGGGGACCCAGGGTAGGCAGAGGTGGGTTTGAAGGGGATGGTGCGCTACTTATGCTCAAATTGGGCCAGGGTGGGCACAGTCCAAGGGCTGTTGTGCCCTATACCTGCTGGCTGCTCCCACCCAGGGGAGGGAGAGGAGATCGAGATCCCTGTCCCCTCCCTTATACCTCCCATGCACCTCCCACAGGCAGTCTGCCCACATTGCTCTCCTACCTTCCACAGCCCCTAACCCCTCTCCTCTCCCTCTGGTCCCCAGTGGCAGGCCCATCCATCCTGCAGGTCTCAGGGTGCCTAAGGCTGGCCTGTGTGCCATGGCGTCCTTCACAGAAGAGTCTCTGGAGTGCAGTCCCCCATTTCCTATTGGCAACTACCTATCCTTTCATCCTTATAGATCCTGGCCCCATACCTCTCTGAAAACTGGCTTGCTGGCTTCTGAGAACTGCACTGCAGGTCTGAGCGGCTGCTCTTGGGCCACCGCATGGGCCTACATCACTCTCCTCTTTTCCGGCACAGGGGCCTCTGCGTGGTCCCTAGTGAGAGGCAGTGGGACCCTGAGGGAGTTGGGGGAAAGGGCAAGGAGGAATGTGGGGTATGGGTGTGATTTCTGGCCTCCCCTTTTTTTTTTTTGTACCTGGGATGGAACTCAGGTCCTTGCACTTGAGAGGCAGGCAGTGGAGCCCCTGAGCTAAATCTCCAGCCCTGGCCTCACCACTTCTAACCTTCTGCTAAAACTGTTGCTGCTCCCTGTGGAGCAAACGTTTCTTAGGGGAACTTCCTCAAGGGCTCTCTAGTAAGAGATCTTTGGGTGCCAGCATCATTTCTGACGGTCCTAAGAGCAGTTGTTCTGGGCTCTTGTGCTGTGAGCTTCTGTGATTCAGGTGACCCCAGGATTGTTTTCTAGAAGAGATTCTATCTTGCATTTGAACACATGCTGGGCCCATGCCTCAGGTTTTGATTTGATGTGCACTGAAGAAGCAGCCTCTTGCTTTGTGTTCCTGGGCTTTCAGGGACTCATGGAGCTGAGAGCCACAGGTAAGTTTGAGGATACCTGGGCTCCATCTGGGCCCCCTGTGAGAGGAGTCACAGCCGGTTGCTTGAGGATGAAAAGGACCAGTAGCCCCCCCCCCACAGGCTGCTGGCTTGGCCATCTCCTCCCCAGCATGGGTCCCCCAGATTCTGCCCACAGCATCTCTTGTCTGTAACACATAGGGCTTGAAGGTATCTCTCTGTCTGTCTTCAACAGGCTCACAACTCCGATGGAGAGACGGCCTCTCAGCTGCTAACTCTTGGATGCATTAAAAATCGTTCACCACATACAGTCATGTGCTCTCAGTCTTCTGATAGAGAAGGGGACAAGGTTCCAAAAAGCTAGTGACAAACTCTTCTACATGGCAAGAGACACTTGTGCCAGGCCACTGAAGAGACCTGCTGATGTGCTCATTCTTTGGGGTGCCTGTCTCATTGGCGGGGCTCCGTGTTCTCCACACAGGTACCCCCTCAGGGTGGGGACACTGTTGTCATCATGGGCCTCTGTCAGGTGTGCTGCTCCTCACCTCTTGTCAGCCCAAGTACTTATGTCTGTTCCTGGTAGAAGAGTTCTCCATTCATCTTTCAGTGGGTGTCACACTCAGCTCCCAGGCCTTGTGCAAGCCCCAGCCCCACAGTCACCTGATGTAGGTCCCCTGTGTCTTTATTTCCAGGCAACAGTGCAATCCAATAACTGCCTGTGAGCACCCAGGCCTCAGCACCATGCTTTGTCTGTCCTCAGGGCCCTGGGTGGGTCTCTCTGGCTTGGTGACCAGGATGTGCAGGAAGATGCCTCAGATCCAAATGAGTTTCTCCCCACTGCCCAGACGTGCACAGTAATGGAGGCCCCTATGCTGCCCGTGTTCTCTCTGTCCTTCCTTCCCTATGGCCCCTATCTCTTATGGTGATGACTGGCAGAGATGCAGGGGCTCTGGCCAATGTTGGCGGCCCCAGCCCAGGGATCCCCCACTTACCGCACAGCCTCCATCTGGTCCTTCTCCTCCAGAGATCCCAGCCGCCTCCTCACTTCCTGCAGGAGCTTGGTGCCCTGGAAGCCGCTGCCTCGGCCATCGCACTTGACCACCATGGCCCCGTGGCTACTCACCAGCACCGTCTCCCATGTCACCTGGAACCTCTCGGCCACGCTCTGGCTGCCTGGAGTGCCATCCCTGGAAGAGACAGTTGGGGGCCTCGAAGTTTGGCCAGCAGGGCTGTTCTCAACAGAACACTGGGTGTTAAATAAACCCTGGACCAGAAAAGGGGTTGGGAGGCTTTCTCTCTTCATTTTTATGCAGTACAGGGGATTGGACCCAAGGCCTTTGCATTGAGCTACATTCCCAGCCTGTTTTTATCTTTTATTATGAGACAGGGTCATAGTAAGTTGTTGAGTTGTGCAGGCTGGGCTCAAACATTTCCTGCCTCACACAGAGGTTTCCTATCATGTCCCTTAACAACAAGGCTACATTCTGAGAGGTCACTGTCAGGCGATTTTGTATGCGAATATCACAGAGTGCGCTCACACACGCCAAGACTAACATAGCGTCAATAGGTGATGCAATCTTATGGGACCACTATCATCTGCATGGCTCGTCACTGACCAAAATGCCGTGATGCTTCTGCCACTGCATTTTCCCTTGGAGGGGAAGGATGAGCAGGGAGAGACGGCCCTGGGCTGGTCACAGATGGTCATGGTCCCTTCCATGAGTGGGGCTGCTTGTCTCCAGAATCTGGCTTTCTGAGAGGACTGTGGGGTACAGGTGATGTGGGAGTGTGGGGAGGGGAGCAGTGAGCGTGCAGCCCAAGAGAGCTGCAACCAGAGGCTGGAAGCTGAAAGGCCCGTGTTTCATCATGAGATTGCTCTCCATGAAATGAAGGTTCTGTTTCCTTTTGCATTTTTTTTTTGTTTGTTTTAAGCAGGCACCACCAGTCTGGTATCTTTGGAGTCTTTGAGTCCCCAAATCTCCTTGCTGTCACATGTGAATCAGAGCAAAACTCAAACAATCAGAAAGACGCGTCCTGCGGGCTGGCTCCCAGGCAGGCAGTGGCCCATCTGCACATACGGTGAGCTTTGGCTGCCCCTGACTGCGTTCCTCTTGCCTCGGGTGCCTGCCTCGGCTACTTCTGGAAGGAAACTGAGTAGTTTTGTAAACCGAGGCTTTTGTGGATTATTTACTTTATGATCCCTGGAGATCCCTGAGTGAAGGGAGAAGATGGCTTTGAAGTCTGTAGTATTTCTTAGAATGTGAGAATGTGGTGTGGTAAAGGAGAAAAAAGGTAGTGTGAGAATGTGTGTGTGTGTGTGTGTGTGTGTGTGTGTCTGTGTTTGGGGTGCGTGGATGGCATGTGCAGGTGTGCATTGGGAGGTTGTTGGCAAAGTGTGAAGTCAGTCCCAATATTAAGGAAAGTGGGTTAATCGCAAAGTGGAATAAGATGCTGGGATCTATGCCATGGTCATCTTTATAACCAAGGCTCTTTGCAACTTAGGGACGGAGCCTCAGGATGATAGCAGGGTGAATTGTCAGGGTCACCTGGAGCTCCACCAGGAACCTGGCATTCACTCAGGGACTGATTCCTGATGTTTCCAGAGCAACTGCAGTGCAGGCTTCCACTCTTTGGGCCCCCCAGAGGCCTTGCAGGCTCCGTGCTTCCTCACGCTCCCTGGGCTGGGGCAGGGCCAGCGAAGGTGGACAAGGACAGTGTGATCTTCTTAGTGACCCCTCCCTCCACATGCTTTTAGTGCTAGCACTTGAAGCTCTTCACGGGGTGCCCGCCTGGGAGGTGCCTAGTGTGTCAAGAACCCAATGAGACTCCACACCTTCTGGGTATTGATGGAGCACTCCATAGTTGGTCTCAAAGTCTAAACACAGACTTCCCGCCTTCTGGCACCTTTAGCACATAGAGGGTGCTCAGGGAAGCCACTGGAGATGCTGCTCTCGCTCCTGTAATTGACAAGCCCATTGGCTCAGCCTGCCTCCAGGCCAGCCTGCCCTGTAAGGGGCCATCCTGGCTCCCTGAGCTCCAGCCACTGCTTCCTCCCTAGCCAGCACTGGAGGAGCTTGGGGGAGCAGACAGGAGGGTGTGGATCCCCCTCTCTCCAGCTGCTGGGGCTTTCCAGGGTTATGGAGAGCACCTGCAGAAGATGGCAGCACTATACTTACACCACCAGGAGCATGGGGTAGTGGGCCGTTTCTGTGAATGTGGCTGGCTTCAGGATCTGCACCGGCAGGTCTGCGGAGAGACCGACATAGGCAGGTCAGAGTTGGGGACAGAGGGCAAGGTGCATCTGTGTGCCCTGGTGGGGACAGCCATCGACACTGGAGAGGCATGGGTGGGAAGTCCACAGTCATTGCAGTGACTCTGGCAGGAGATGTGTGGCCTTGGGCATGTCACCCAACCTCCCTGAGGCTGCATTTCCTGTCAGAAGCATAAATTCAGCCTTACATACAGAAGCCCAGGGAAACCAGGACTCTTGGGCAGCAGAAATCCACACAGGGAGTGGGAGGATCCATGGTTTTAAGAGTGCCCACTGTTGTGTGTACCATGTCCTGGGACTGGGTAGTTGGGAGCAGTGGGTTTAGGGAGAAGAGGCAACCAGGAATGGGGGCTGAGGCTGGGGACAGGTAAGAGTGTGCTGAGGATCTCCCAGGCCAACTGGTTGATTTGCAGGTTGGAGCTGGGCAGGCCTGGCTTCTGCTGGAGCCACACAGAGAGAGTCCCTGCTCCTGCCAGGGTCACCAAGTTTGTTCTTGGCAGTGTGAAATGCAGAGAGTGAGGAAGAGAGGAAGAACCAAGTCTCAAGAAGATGCCTCTCCTTAGCCATATGTGGTGGTGTGCACCTGTAGCCCCAGCTTGGGAGGCAGAGGCAGGAGGATTGCCATGAGTTCAAGGCCAGTCTGAACTCCGTAGCAAGACTAAGATTCTTGTCAAGTTAGGATTTCCTTACTGATGTTAATGAACTATAATTTAGATTCCTAGGCATATACACCCAGGCCTGGGAAGCTTGTTATCCCTGATGTACCAGTGGCCCAGGGGCAGGAAAGGTAGGCAGGAGACTTTAATATTTAAATATCCATAACATGCATTTGGGGTGCTCTCAGCCCCTGTAAGAGTGGGGGAGGCCATGTTTTGGTTCCTGTTGCCCACTTCTGTCTCCCGGCATCCTGAGCTTCTGGGGGCATGATTAGCATAGTCCCTGGGACACCACAATCTCAAAGTCACTGTCCCGACCTGTGGAGCCCCTGCTGGGGACAGCCAGTGGCTGTGGAGGAGGCTGTGATTTGCTCCTGTGCTGTGTGAGAGGTGCTGATTCAAGGCCATTCGCCAGGATTTGGAAACCCATGGAGACAGTGGTGAGCAGAGCACGTTGGGAGAATAGAACTTAGGAGCCAGGGAGGAAAATAGTCCATGTTCCAGGAGTTGGCAGAGCAGGGTGGCGACAGTCCCCATGACAGGAGCATCCTTCTAGGACAAATCAGACTGTCACAGCCTTACTTTGTGGCTTTAAATTTAATACTCCTCTGTCTTGGGGATCCCTCCCTACACAGGGAATGTGTGTTCGGTGGAGTGAGGATGGGTTCCAGGAGAGAGTGGCTTCATGTGGCCAAATGAGGGAACCCTGGTGTCCTGGAGTGTGGGCAGGGGACAGACTGTGGCTGCTACCCCTGACCCTCGTGTAGGGGAGTACTGGGCAGCATCCTGTATGGTGCCCCTCTTACCAGTGGCCTTGTTCTGGAGCTAGCTCAGAGCACACCACCTGCTTTCCTTTCTTTTAAAATTTTTATTTATTACAGTACCGAGGATCAAATCCAAGGTCTTCACACAGAGCTAAACCACAGCCAGATTTTTTTAGCATTTATTTTGAGACAGTGTCTTACTAAGGCACTAAATTACCCAGGCTGAGCCCAAACTTGTGATCCTCCTGCCTCAGCATCTCAGAGTGTTAGGATTACAGGCATGGGCCACCTTGCCCAGCTTACTTTTCTTTTAAAGGGAAAAAGAGTTGCACTTACTGTAGTCATCAACCTCAATTCTCCTGTATTCTATTTTAGGCATCTGTCGGTCACTGACGGCCTTTTGCACATGTTCATTTGTTTCTAGGTCAAAGATTTCTGAAAGAGAGCAAGCAATGGGGCAGTTAGATTCAGTGATGGTTGCCTGAGCACCCAAGTGAGCCGTGGTTTTGATTTCTACCCTGGCCTGGAAGTGACACTGCCATTCCTGTTGCATCTCAAAGCAGGAACTTCTGCAGACCAAAGAAAATGTCCCATGTGGCAGGCCACCTCCCCCGGTAGATGCCTGCTCTCCAGGGTGTTGCACACTTACACATGAAGGCTTGGGTACAACCCAACAGAAGAAACTTCATTACTTCTCTGTGGATGGAGGCTAGAGAAACCAGGGAAGGTAGGAAGACGGCTCACTGAATTGCTTTATTAAAATTCCCCAGAAAAATGGGCCCAGATTTTGTGCCTTAGATACAAAGTTGTCAGGTCTTTGCAGAGCGTATTGGGGTGATTAGATTTGGGGATGTAAAGCCTCAGAATGACACGTCACTGTGTGGTGGGACTGGTCCTTTTCCTTCCCTTAGGTGATCCTGTGCCCGTGGCTTAGTCTTATGGGGTCTTATCCCTCAGCTTGTGAGAACTCATGAATGCCTTTGTCATGAATGCCTCATGTTGGCTGGAAGCACCCCCATTACCTCCACCACCCATCACAGACGGCCAAGCCACCTCATTTCAGTGGCCAAGAGGTGACAAAACCTCAGGATTTCTAGTCATTTTTTACTCTGAGTTTACACATGGGGATGACTTGTGGTGCACTATGAAAGAGAATTTTATCTTACGGGACTCCACTGCTATGGTTTACATCCAGATGTTCATAAGAGCCTCCTGTACTCACAGGCGGGGCACTTGGAAGGTGATTGGATCATGGGGCTTATGGCTGATTGCTCCTAGGTGTAGCCTGGTCAGAAGAGGTGTGGCCTCCCTTATCTCTCTGCTTCCTGCTGCCATGCCATAAGCAGCTTCTCCTCCATCATGCCCCTTTGCCATGAAGCCAGCTGACTATGGACAGAAACCATTGCAAACTGTGAACCAAATAAACCTTTCCTCCTTTACATTTCTGGTATCAGGTATTTTCTCCCATCAACAAAGAAAGTGACTAAGACATCCATCCACCTTTGCAAGAGCTGTAGATGGAGAATGTTTTAAACCTGGGGTCCCCAGCCCTCAGGTACTGATCTGTAGCCCATTAAGAACTGGCCAGGGCCAGGGATTTAGCTCAGTGGTTCTGCCATCTGCCTCGAAAGTGCAAGGTCCTGAGTTCGATCCTAGGTACAAAAAAAAAAAAAAAAAAAAAAAAAAAAAAAGAACTGGGCCACACAGAAGGAGGTAAGCAGTGGGCAAGTGAAGCTTCAGCTGTATTTCCAGCCATTCCCAGAGTGGGTATCATCACTTGAGCTCTGCCTCCTGTCAGATCAGCAGGAAGAAGAGATTCTCATAGGAGCTGGAACCCTATGTGAACTGCATGTGTGAGAGAACTAGGCTCCTGCTCCTTATGAGACTCTAATGCCTGGTGATCTGAGGTAGGACTGAGGTGGTGATGCTAGCACTGGGGAGTATAATTATTATGGATTGCAAATACAGTGACCCCTCCTCTGTCTGTGGAAAAATTGTGTTCCATAAACTGGTCCCTGGTCCCTTGAGACCACTGTTTTAAAGAGTGTACCAACATCACACAGCTATAGTGCAAGTCTAATCAGTGACGATACCTCAGGTGTAAAACTCTCCAAGGCTGCTGGGGGGTAAGTGCTGGTGGTTTAAGTGACTACGTCTCTGCCCCAGGAGCCTTGAGGACACTCATGAAGGGGCCAGAGAGGAGCGTTCCCATGCTCATGATGACTTAATAAGTAACCAAATAGGATTTACCAGTAACTGGACATATGGGTACCCTTGATGGAAAGTCAAGGGGAGAAGTAGAAGAGGGAGCTGTCCAATGGGTAGAGGTCAAGCTAGCTTGTAGTGGGACCTCTGTAAAGGAGTCTGCATGGCACACAAAGCAGGGGTTTTGGGGTAAAGCAGTGTCTGAAAGGGAGAAGGCAGAAGGGTCTACACGTGACCTTAGCCATGAGACCCAGAGGACACACTACCAGACAGTCCTATGTTAAGTCAGCAGAAATTGGCCTATGAGGCTTCATTTATTACCTATGGTTTTTGATTTGTTTTGTTTTGTTGTGTGTTACTGGGTATTAAACCCAGGGCCTTCTCACTGAGCTCTATCCCAGCCCATTTTAAATTCCTTTTTGCAAATTTTGAGACAAGATCATGCTGAATCACTAAATTTCCCAGGCTGGGTTTAAACTTTCAACCCTCCAGCATCAGTCAACCTGAGTGCTGGGATCATTAGGTGTGTGCCACCGCACCTAGCTTTATCTGTGTTCAATTTACATTTCTAGGGTGGAAGATGAGAAAGGACTTCAGGATAATGAGAAGAGCAGCATTTCTTTGAGCCCTTTGTTGCCTCAGGGCCTTGGTACTTCCTGCTCCCTACACTTGGAAACTTCATTGCTGGCTCTTCTTCCAACAAGTCAAGTATCACCTCCTCAAAGAGAAGCCCTGGCCACCCCTTCTCAGGTGTTCACCAACCTCTGCAGAGGTCAACTCCTAGTGGAAGAGTTCTGGGTGTTTGCCTGGCCCCACCCCCACCCCTCAAGGCATCCATGTTAAGTCCCACCAGCATCAAAATGAATTCATTTCCTGTAACCTGGCTCCATCTGTTTGTGGAAACCCAATTCATACCTTGGGAACCAAGCATCTTTAGATGGTAGCTGAGTCTGGGTTTCCATCAATGTCTTTCTCTCTATGTCCCATGTAGCCTTTTGCCATGGCTCCAAGAAGGTCTTAAAAAAACTAAACAGGACTGAGAGGTCTGCTGGGTGTCTCAGAAGCCCAAGGCTCTCAGTGTTCCTAGAATTCAGAATGCTTGGGAGGCAGCAGTTGGGGAAATTGAGGCCTGACCATCAATCCTTGCTTCACCATAATGCAAACTCACACGAATGAAATAGCCAGGAAGTTGACTGAAAAATTTCTGGTGCTTGGAAGTGTAATGGGAACACATGACAATCAGTGAGGGTAGGCTTAGGAGCCAGGTCCATGGATATACCCTATCCTGCATATGGATCTTTCAGAATCATCTCAAAGCCTCCACTTGCTGGAGGCTGCTATGGCCCTTGGGAACCTGTGACATTCACCATTCTGCTTACCCATGTGATCATCCAGTCAGTAGCAGGAAGGAGGCTGAAGTGGGTCAAATTGTGAATGTGGAAAACCCATGAAGGTCAGTGGGCATAGCAAAGGAAATAGCTTCAGTAACAAGAACAAAGATGGGTCTGTTGCTATTGGTCAGCATCTGCTATGTGAGGGCCTGTGAGGGCTTTGGCCAGGGGCCGGACAGGATGTGGACTAGGAAGTTTAAAAGTGAAGGGGAACAGACCCTCTCACAGCTCACTGCAATGACAAATTTGTGACCACCAAGACAGTGGTCCAAAAAATTCTCAAGGATATCCCAGAAAGAGACAATGAAGCCAACAATGCCAAAAAGTCCAGTGGAGTGAACGCACCAGGCATGGTGAACAGTAATCAGAATTGAGCAAAAAGGGATCAGCAATAGGGAAATAATGCAGTAGCAGGAATGAGTCAATGCCTTTCAGTAATAACTCTCAGACACAGGTTGGCAGATTGGATCAAAAACAAAATCCAACGGTATGCTGCATACAAGAAACACATTTACACCAAAAAGAAATTCATAGACTAACCATCAAAGGATGGAAAGCAATATTCCACGCAATGAGAGCCCCCCAACAAGCAGGTGTAGTTATTCTGTTTTCTCCTTGTGGATGCCTTTGAACAATGCTTCTGGCATCCCTCTGCAATCCCAAGTGCTGATCAGGAAGCAGTGGTTTCAAGTTCAGTGTGCAAGTCTGCTTTGCTGCCTGCTAAGTTAAGCTGGGATTGCAAACACATACCCTGTAACCAACACTGGGACCTGGGAGTCCTGGCTTCCTTCGAGGGCATGGGAAGTTCTAATCGTCCCTGGACTGCACAGGCTGCATCTGAATAGCTTGCTCCCCTCTACTGAAATCCCACCCTTTACTGAAGAGCACCAAAGCAACAGACTATTAAATTTAGTTAAATATTAGATTTCTCATTTAATGATTGCCCACAAAACTGGTTTTATCAGCAGAGAGCTGGCTGTCTCACTGGGGAGTTGAGTTAAGCCATTTTATTTGTTCCCATAATTGCATTCAAAGAGGGCAGGAGCTCTGTGGAGAAATAAGAAAAGATTGGCATATTCCCTAAAGGACTCTTCTTTTGACTTCAGGGCAGTGGGGACCCCCAGTCTGAAGCATACAAATGGCCACTCCTTAATTAAATGTGAGCCCCTCTAATATTTGGTGGAATTAGCTATTATCAGATCTGGACACAGTGAGCCCACAGAGACCAGTGCCTGCTCAGGAGGGCGGCAGCTTCCCAGGCTGCAAGGCCCATGGGCTGCTCCAAGACCTGCTTACAATGGCCTTGGGCTTGGGAGATTGGCAGCCGTGCTGCCTGCTAAATTCTGGAAAATAGGGAGCTGGATCCTAATTGTTCAGAGCTTTGTGCACAGGCCCTCCAGTGTCTCCCTGTCCACTGCCTGATCTCCCCTGGCAGGGTTTCTGTCCCTGTCTGCCATTTTCCCAATCACTCCTACCTGCACATTCCCTCTCCCATGTCCACTCCTCACTTGGGAGCTGTCCCCATTCTGGGCCACCCCTGCTCAGCTGTACCCAGAAATTAGATCCTGTCCAGTGCCTTGCAGGTGATTCACCCAGGTCAAGGCCTCTAAACACTGGCGGTTCTGTTGTGACACTGTTGTTTGTATATGTGCAGGCTGTTTTTGTTGTTGTTTGTTTGTTTTGTTTTTTCTGGTACTGTGGATTGAACCCAGGACTTGCACTGAGCTACATTCCCAGTCTTAATTTTTTTTTTTAAAGGCAGGGTCATGCTGTCTCTAAGTTGCCCAGGTTGAGATCTAACTTACAATCCTCCTGCCTTATCCCCCAACAGTGCAGGCATTACCGTTGTGTGGCACCATAGCTGTGCTGAAGTTTTGATGTGAACAAGTGATACAATAATTATGGCCTTATGGTCATAGGGAATGAGAAAACAACATTTAGAAGATTTTCAAGCCAGTAGAACATGAGGACAGAGTTCTGGGGGCTGGTGAATGAGACGTGACATCAGAAACCTTTAAATGGAGCACTGAAGGAATCAAAGGGCTTTGATACTTAGGTATCCAGGATGACAGAATTGTTTAATTTTAAAATGAAAATGTTTTGCCTGATGCTGTAAACATATCCTGTGCAGCTCTTTAAGGAGAGTAAGTTAGAGGTGACAATTTAAACATGTGTGAGAGGAGTCAGGAGCAAAACACGAGGTGGGTGTTGACTCAGTTTACCTCTGTATGGAGTGTGTGTTGGTGTGCGGCCCTCACACCATTGCTGATTTACAGTAAGACTTTCTTTGGCCACCAATGCACTCCTCGAAATGTCACGCGCACTTGCTTGTTGCATCTACAGACGGGGCTTCAATTAGGCACCAGGGCTATGCTTGACAAGACAGGCATAGAGTTAGTGCCTTACTCTGCCTTAGGGGGCCCCAGGTGGGCAGTGTCCCATGGAATTCATACGACTGCTTGGGGTCAGTCAGTGGCTGTTGCTTCTTCATAATCCTAGCATTCTGGAAGGCTGAGGCAGGAGGATGACCTTTCCACCCCACCCCAGGCAACTTAGTGGCTTAAATGAGACCTTGTCTCAAAATTAAAAAAATAAAAATAAAAAAGGGCTGGTGGTGTAGCTCACTCTGGAGGCCCTGGGTTCAGTCCCCAGTACTAGAAAAAACAAAACTCCACTGAGGGGGCCAGGCAGTAAAAAGTCCTATCTTCCATGAGATCAGGTGTTTGGTAAACAGGCAGCCCAGGGTCCAGAGATCCTGAATGTGCTTGCAAGATGCCACAGGATCCTGGCTGTGGATGCCCCCCTGTGTCACTCTGCCAACCTGCGTGCTTTCTCCCTGTTTACACTAGCCGTGGCCCACTGCGTTTTTCTGGCTTTCTATCACACCTATGTTGTTTGAAGGCCCAGGCGCCAAATGAGTCTTCTTGGTCCCAGCCATAATTGCATTCTTAAGGAAATGCTTCTAAATAATTCAGAGACACAGCTGTGAACACCCGCAGGCTCTGTTTGTAGAAAAGATTTTCAAGGTGGGGGGAGTTCAGATATTCCCGGGGTGGCTTGGGCTGATGGGGTGGGAGGAGGAAGGACAAAGAGTTCTGCAACAGTAATTGCAGCCTCCTCCAGGGCTGTACAGAGTGGGGCTGAGGGCCCTGTCCCTGTCAGAGAGCTGGACTCCAGCCTCTGTGCTGCCCAACAAGCCTGACCGAGAGTGTCTGCCCCACTGTGACCACGCTGCCCTGCCTGGTGCGTGCCTATCACACTGTGGCGCTCAGGCTCCATAGAGGTCTCCACCATCACCCTTCCTGGGTCACAGCTGCCTGAGGGCCTCTTTCAAGTACAAAATTCCCTTCTGTGGGCCAGGATGACAATCAGCAGCATCAGAAGAAGGGTCACAGAGCATGGCTGCACCCATCCTACCTCCACCTCCCAGAGTGCCTGGACTATGCATCCATTTTCTTTTTTTTTTTTTCATTGAGTTTATTGGTACTTTTTAAAGGTATTCAGTACAGTTACATTTATCATTGCAATTTTATACCTTTACATGACAGATCTTGGTTCTCATTTTCCCCCATACCCCTGCCCTCCCTTTACCTGCTCCACCTTCCCCTATTTACAAAGACTTTGTTTCTATTTTTTTCCTTTTCTCATATTTTTTCTTGTCCCTTATTTCTTTTTCCCTACCCTTCCCACTCCCCCTACACCTTTAGCCCCTTTTTTTCCCTATTTCACATTATCAGTTATACAATTTGGATCTTATTTACACTTTTAGTTTTTTACACCAGAGAAACTATTTAGTATTTGCACATGTGTGTCCTATATATTTCACTTAAGAGTATGGTCTCAATACACATCCATTTTCCTATGAATGACTCTAGTTTCTCATTCTTTATGGCTGAGTAGTACTCGATTTTATAGAAAAACCACATTTTCTTTCATTCAGTCTCCAACTGATGGGCAACTGGGTTGTTACACATACATTTTCTTAACTGACAATAAGCACCATAACAGGCAGGGCTGCAGATACTGTGCTGGCGGGTGTGAGAAGTGGGTACCAGGGAGATCTTCCTGCCCCTCGAAACCTTGGAGCCTAAAAACAAAGTAGACCCTGGACAGGAGAAGGCCCCTTTTCTCTTACGCAGTTGCTCAGTTGTTCTCTTCCTGGCTAAGGCTGCAGCTCAGGCTGACTTGAATACAAGGGCCACATGGGGCTCCAGGGCAGCTCATGTCCCTGGGTTTGTATCATCTACAGGAAGCCAGACCTCAGGGGCAGCCGCACAGGCGGGCTGTGATGGAACGTGCTTAAAAAAATCCTGCCCAGCACAATGCAATATGAACGCTGCTTGGTTTCTGCTCACCAGTGCTTCGTACAAAGGAAGAGCAGTGTGATGCCTGCTTTGCTTCGGTTTCTTTTCTTTTTTTGCTTCACTGTTAAGTCTGGGAAGATTCTGTTCTTTTGTCCTATCCTACTTGCTGGATAGACAAGAATGGGACATTGGTGTGGGACACCACCCGCATCCCTGGTGCATAAGGCTTTTACTTTCTTAGCCTACATGGTCCACCCTGTGCCTCCAGAAGGCCAAAGTGACATTCTGAATGAATGAGATTTGGGGGACATCCCAGCTCTAAACCATAATAGGCACTGTGGTGCTCTCTGAAGCATATACGTTAATAGCAGCATAACCAAAAGGAAGCAAATGAAAACATTTAAATGAATGGCTTTTGTGGAGACACATGCTGTATGTTTAAATACCCAGAGATAGTTTTGTGTTTTTTTCTTAGACCATATCCTAAAAAAATAACTTTTTTTTGTTTTGCTTTTGTCTTTTTAGACAGGGTCTTGCTATGTAGTTTAGGCTGGCCTCAAACTCACAATGATTCTCCTTCCTCAGTCTCCTGAGTGCCTCGATCACAGACATGTGCTACCACATGTGGCAAAAACCCCAACTTTTAAATTGGAGATAAAATGGCTCACAGAGTCCTGTGTCCCTTTTTCCTGCCCCCCACCTGAGGGCTGAAACCAGAGCCAACATGGTCACTACACAAACCTCAGTCACTTTTCACCAGGCCACTGATTTTTAAGGGAAAAAATTCTCACAAAATATACTTTTATATTTTAACAAATATTCAAAATGCACAGCATACATTTTCTCAAGAAGAAACAAGAGAAGTTCTAGCTCCTGGCAGTGTCCCTTTTCTGTCCACACTGGTTGGAGCCCTCCGGGCCCACTCTGACCCACCTCATGCTGGATCTTTGGGCAGCAGCATCAGTTTTAGCAAGCACCCCACTAAGTCACCTTGGTGGAACCTCCTACCTTGATGTGGGTCATGCTTGATGCCTGGCCAGTTCCTCCCCCACCTCTCAGTCCTTGTCCTGCCTTCAGTTTAGCAGGCAATGCCCACCTCAGCTTCTCCTCTTAGCTCGCTTCCATCTGCTCTGCACAGGACCACAAATCCCGAGCCCTGTCTGCTGTATTAGAGTTGAGCACGCTGTCATGATGGGTGTGGCCTACTGTGACGATCCTGAATAAAGTCTTCCGGCATCCCAACATGGATCAGAGAGGCTTCTCTTTATCCCACTGTGCAGCCTGCACAGCCTCCATGCCATGCACTTGGCCCAGGACCCACAGAGAAAAAGGAGCTTCCCAGTGCCCATGCACCTTGGGCCCCAGTTGGGGAAGCTCAGAACAGAGAAGAGGCCCAAGCTCTATCGCAGGCTTCTGAACTTTCTCCATCCTTGGGCCCTGCTCAGCATGGGTAGCCGAGGAAGGGTTGTGGGGCTCCCCACCTCACTGGCTGTCCCTCCACCCATTTTCATCAGCACTCGCTGGCCAGCAGGGCCATTCTGCACTGCAGGACGGGGCTCATTTATGTGCCCCCACTAGGAAAGAATGGATTATCCCAAAGGGCCTTTCTCTTCCTTTTCCCCGAATCTCAGGAAGGTCCCAGGAAGCAAGTACTCACTTTTCTTATCTGTGGTGTTGTGTACAGTCACTGTGGGCACCCCAGGACCTGGATTGGGTGGAGAAGAGAAAGACAAGAGAGGTCATTAGTTTAGTTGAGGAAAAAGAAAGAAAAGACACTTTTTCTGAGGACACTTGGGTTTGCTGAGCATGGAGAAGCCAGCTTTGTGGGTGAGTGGCCAGCAGGAGGATAGAGCCCATGCTGTGGCAAGGTGTGGCACTCTGTCTCTGCACCTGGACAGTTACCAGCAGCCAGGTGAAGGTGCCACCAGAAATTCTTCCATTGAGGTTATGCAAAGGTGAACACATTCGGTAGGAGCCATACTTTGAATTGGATATTTTGTCCCTGGCCTGATCCTCTCTGTGTTGCTCTCTGTGCTCAAGTCACACTTGAAGGGAAATAACCAACTCTGCTGTGCCATGTGGTGGAGCCTGGATGGGGGCCAGTGACAGTAGTGGTGCATTTTAAACTTACGATCTTTGCAAACTCTGATCAGTTTATGGGGACCTGGAACCATCAGAGGCTGAGAGGCATCTGTGTAATACTTTTAGAATATTGCAATGACACTGAGCACCATTTTATGGGGGATTATATTTGGTTCACATCCTCATAACCTGATGTTTACCATCCAGGCCCAAATCCCTGCTGGTGTCCTGGGGTCCTGAAAAATCACCCATACCAGCCTCAATCTTAACAAGACGCCTGTCTGTCTCTGTGGGACCCTCCAGGAGGGAAGCTGCTCTGCCATCTGCTCTCTTACAATTCTTCACCCAGATGATGAAGGTAATAGGACTGTTTTAAAAGCCCTGTGTCTCAGCTGTCCCTGACATCCCAGACCTGGGCGTCAGGGTCTCGGGAGGGAGCATGAAGGTCTGACTTAGGGAATGGAGGCCCCTGGCAATGTTCTCTATAGGTTCAACTCTCTATTCTTAGGAGAGGAGAGTTCAGCAATAAAAAGGGTCTTTCTGAATCATGTTTGTCTTTTTGGAAACATTTGTGGGAGTCAGGTATCTTTTCCCTCCTCTCCCTCTCCAGTAACTCTTCCACTAATTCCCCTTCTGCTCTCTCTCCCTCCCTCCCTTCTTTCCTTCATTCTCTTCTTCTCTTCCTCCTTCCTTCCTTTACTAGGGATTAAACACAGGGCCTTTGCACTAACTCCAGGCTCTTTATGTCATTTTAATTTTTTTTATTTTGAGACAGGGTCTCACTAATTCATTGAGTTGCCCAGGCTGGGCTCTGACTTGTGGTCCTCCTGCCTCAGCCTCCCAGAGTGCTAGGATGATAGGTGTGCACCACTATGCTTGGCTCAGGTGCCCTTCTTTTCTGACATCACCTCTTGTCTGTGGCTATGCTCCCCAAGCTACCTGTTCTTCCACTCAGCCTAAAGGATGCCAAGCTGGGGTTCACTGGGCCCACAGTCCACTACCTGAAATGCTCTGTCCTCAGACACTGACATGGCTACTTTCTCCTCATTTAAATCTTTGCTCAAAAGCCTTCTTCACCCACACAATCTAAAGGAGCCCCTGTCCACAACCATGTGACCCGCCTCTGTTCCCTCATGTGGCTTCCTGTCACATATGTGACGCAGGACCTCGGAATATAAATGCTCCGTGTTGGGTACTCTGGGTGCTCAGAACTGTGTGGAGGGACGTGTCAAGGTCTCAGGACATGCAGCATTTGGGCAGAGAGAGGGCTGGAGTTTTGTGTTCCTGGTATCGTTTCCTACACACTTCCGCGGGCCATGTGACAGTGGCTAAGTTGAGAGCCAGGCATCTGGTATGGATGCCACCTGGTTTAGAGACCCTTCTGCCGAGCACCAGCATGAACTCCCTCATTGAGGCCCAGAGAGGGTGTCGAGTGTCTCAAAGGGGTTCACCCTGTGAGGCATGGTGGGCTGGGCTTGGCCAGTGACACACACAGGTCATGGCTCTGCTGGGAGACACAGACCATGGTACATCAGCAGTGGACATTAGAGCAGGCTCCTGCTTAGGGACACCAGACACCACCCAGCACATATCTAGATGCAGGAGGCCCAACCATCCAGAGAGGGTGACCACATAAACCCCAGGATGCTTGCAACAGGCAGATCTAGGATAAACAATGCAGATTCCCTAACTCCAAACACCTCCGTGCACTACTTAGGACATACCATTAAACAAGCATTCCGGTGTACCTGAAATTCAAATGTACTGGGGCATCCTGCATTTCTGCTCCCCTATGTGGAAGGGCAGTGAGCTGAGTGTCCACACGTGTGTACCCCAAGAGATGGCACTTTACTGCAAGTGAGCTAAGCAGTGACTGCAGGTCTGAATTATTGAGATGAGCTAAGTTTTCTGCCCTTGGTCCAGTGCCTCGTGTGGGACCTCATGGAGAAGACCAGTTAGAAGAAGGGGAAGAGTCCAAATGGCTTCCTGTGGGCATGCAGGTGAGCACATTTGCAAATTGAGCTGATCTATGAATAATGTAAACAATTATTATTTATTTAGTGCCTACCCTGTCAAAGGCCCTCTACTAGATGTTTCATATGAATAATTTCTAATCTGATCATCACAGCAGTTCTGCCAAATAGATGTTTCTAACCAGACTTTACAGAAGAGAAAATGCAGGGGTTGGGAGCTTTCTATCTTGTCTCTTCCACACTGGGAAGGAGTTGCTGAGCCTGGATTAGTGCCTTCTTATTCTTAATTTGTGAACTTAAATCATGTTTCTAAAATCACTCAAATACTAAAGAAAAAGAGGACATGAAAAGACCCATTTATTCTATCTTCCTGCCTCCCAGAAGTGACCCAAACATTTCTGAAATGTCCGGAAGTGTTCATCTGCAGACAGGTGGTTTTATTTACACATAAACATATATTTCACATGTATAGAGAAAAATAACATAAAAATAGCAGCATGTATATCTGTAAGTTTTACCTAATTTCAATGTTAAACTATACTTATCCTGGTTATTATTTTAAAAAATGAAACATAGCAGATAGACTGGAGCTCACCTGTGTGTCTTTCTCTAATCTCTGTGAAACTACTAGAAGAAGGGCTGAGGATGTAGCTCAGTGGCACCGCGCCTGCCTGGTAAGTGCAAGTTTAACAGGTGTGTGTGGCAGGGGAACTACTAGAAGAAAACCCAGGGAAAAGTTCCAAGATATTGTTTTGGTTAATTATTTTTTGGGATACAAACCTGAAAGCACAGGCAACAAAAGAAAAAATAATCAAAACGGGTTGACATCAAACTTCAAAGCTACTGCACAGTCAAGGAAACAATCAATAGAGGGAAGAGATGATGTGCAGAACGGGAGAAGAGATCTGCCACCCACACCTCTGATAAAGGTCACTATCCAAATTACATAAGGAACTCAACTTTAAGAAAATAAACAACCCCATTGCATAACCAGCAAAGGGTCTGAATAAACATTTTTTTTTTGAAAATAGATATACTAACACCCAACAGATATGTGAAGGAATGCTCACCATCATGAATTATAGAAATACAAATCAAAACCACACTTGGATATCACCACACACCTGTTAGAACAGGTACTAACAAAAAGAAGAAGAAAGACGAGTGTTGGGGAGAATGTGGAGCAAGGGAAGCCTTGTGTACCATTGGTAGGAATGTCAATTGGCATGGCCATCATGGAAAAGAGTATGAAAGATGCTCAAAGCATTACAAATAGAACCACATGACCCAGGACCCATTATTGGGTGCATATCCAAAGGAAATAAAACCAGAATGGTAAAGAGACATCTGTATTCCTGTGCTCACTGCAGCTCTGGTCACAATAGGCAAAATATGGGAATAACCTATGGAAACAATCGTTGGATGAAGGGATAAAAAAGAAGTAGTGCATGCAATGATGGAATTCTATTCAGCCTTGAAAAGTAGGAAATCCTGTCTTCATGACCACAGGCACCAAACCTGAGGACTTTGTTCAGTGGGAGAAGCCAGGCACAGAAAGGCAAGTAGGGCATGATCTCACCCACAGAAGAAACAGTGAACCTCACAGAGAGTGGGATGCTGGTTCCCAGGGCTGCAGGGGCTGCAAGGGAGTGTGGGAGCAGATGTTGGTTAAAAAATATATATTTCATCCAGGCAGAAGGAAAAAGTTTATGAGATCTATTGTGTAGCATGGTGACTATAGTTAATAACAATGTATCCTTGAAAATTGCTAAGAAAAAATACTCCACCCATAGTATAATACACATCAATGTACATAGTCTGAGGAAAGCAGGAGGAGGAGACTGAACGTGTGGCAGTATGGACAGGAACAGCAGCTTTGGGAAATAAACTAGCCCTATCTGTGAAATGGGAAGATTCCCAGGCTGTGTGACCTGTTAGGTCCCCTCCTTGGAATTTATCTCTGAGGAGCCTCATGGGATGTGCACAGAGTGTGTTCACATAGCAATGAGCACAGTGACATATGAGAAACTACATCTCTGCATCAGCAGGAGAGTGGATGAGCAAGATGAAGATATTTACACAGTGGGAATTTTTACAGCCCACAGAAAGAATTGGTAGGTATATACGTATTGACATGGATAGATGAGCAAAATACAAGGTTGGTGACAGCATCAAGTTGCAGAGTGGTAGAGTATAATATACACTCATATGAACACATTTGTAAACCTGTACAACTTTGTTTTATAGAGCCATGCAAAGCAGTGGGTTGTATGGATGCACTGTAATTTCCCTAGTCTATTCCCTATGGATGGATTCATTGGGGTTTTTGTTTGTTCATTTTTACCATTAACTGTTGCCAAAAGCCCTCTTACGCAGTCTGTGCCCAATGAGGCTGCAGTTGTTGGCCAAGCCAGTGGGCAGTCCCACCCTGCTAGGTTGACAAGATCTGTAGTCAGCTTTCACCAGACGTGCTCGAGGCTGCATCCCAGTGAAAGGAGAAAGTTCCCTTCCTCTTGGGCATGGAGGTCTATGACTGCCCTGCTGTGCTCCCTGTGGCTCCCTTCCTCTCTGTCCCTTTTCCAGGGTCCAGGCTGGAAGATCCTCCTTCTCATTTAATAAATAACTTTTTACAAGTTCCAATTACTAATAT